TCTTTAGTCAAATAGTTGACTGAAAGGTGTACAGAACACAAGATTCCACTGTTCTTCATGTATGCTGATTACAAGAAAGCATGTTTGATTCAGCAAAACAAAATGCTACTTTAAATGCCTCTACAGAGTGTCTCCAATATGTTAAAATCCTACAAGATTTAATGTTTAAAATTTTATTTGTTAGGATAAGTTAAAATCCTACCAGATTCCCTGAAAGATACAACAGAGATAATTTTGTTCAGTGATCCTCTAAAAGGCAGCATGATACAGTGAAAAGAGCAAAGGATTTGGAGCCTGAAGACCTGGATTCAAAACCTGGTCCTGATGATATTCACTAGCTGTGTGACTTTGGGCAAGTCATTTAATTTCCTGAGCCCTTACTTTCCTTCAGAAAAATGAGGGATTTAGACAAGGTTATCTTAAAACTCCCTTCTAGTTCTAAGCCTATGATTATTAATATCAGATGAGACATAAAAGACCTATGTTTGGCAAGGATGTTTGCCAGTGTCATGAAGGAGGTTCAGTGAAATACTACAACAGAAGAGAGATTTCCTATGAATGGGCTTTTGGTTGTGGATAATACGGGACTGATGAATCAAACTCCAGAACACTGCCCTAACTAGTCACACAGGACTTGGGGAGTTAGATCAACAATCCATAGAACTCATTCCTTCCTTCCTTTCTTCAATAAGCATTTACATACCAGGTACTAAGCTAGGTGCTGGGTATACAAACATGAAATAGACACTGCCTTCAAGAAGCTTACATTCTATCCAGGGAAAAATAGGAGGCAGATAAGTAAATATAAAATTTTGTTGTTGTTCAGTTGTATTTGACTCTTCATGACCCCATTTGGGGTTGTCTTGGCAAAGATACTAGAGTGGTTTGCCATTTCTTTCTCCAGCTTATTTTACATATGAGGAAACTGAGACAAACAGGGTTAAGTGACTTGCCCAGGGTTATTTTCTAGTAAGAGTCAGTGGCCAGATTTGAACTCTGGAAGATGAGTCTTCCTGATTCTAAGCCCAGGGCTCTATCTACTGGGCCCACCTAGCTGCCCAAACACAAAGCACAAACAAAATAAATGCAAAATAATTTCAGGGAGGGACATGAGCAATTGGGAGACCAGGATAGGTGGCAGTGAAGCACAGCCTTGCAGGAAGCTCAGGGGAGCCAGCACTTTCAAGGTATCTCTTTTGCCCTTTGTAGCTAAACTTCTCAAAAAGGCCTTCTACAATAGGCGTCTCCACTTTCTCTCCTCTCACTCTCTTCCTAATCCTTTACAATTTGGCTTCCCACTTTGTCATTCTACTGAAACTTCTCTCTCCAAGGTCACTAATGTTCTCAGTTGCCAAATCCAATGGCCTTTTCTCAATATTCATTTTCCTTGACCTTTCCGCAGCCTTTGACCTTGTCGATTACTCTTTCCTCTTTGATACTCTCTGTTCTCTAGGTTTTAGGGACACCACCCTCTCCTACCTATCTGACTGCTCCTTTTCAGTCTCCTTTGCTGGATCCTCTTCCCGATCACACCTTCTAATTGTAGGTGTCACCTGGGGTTCAGTCCTGGGTCCTCTTCTCTTCTCCCTCTACACGACTTCACTTGGTAATCTCATCAACTCCCATGGACTTCATTACCATCTTTATGCTGATGATTCACAAATCTTTCTTTCTTGCCCCAATCTCTTTGCTGACTTCCAATCTTGCATCAACAACTGTCTTTCAGACATCTTGAACTGAATGTCCAGTAGAAATCTTAAATTTATGTCCAAAACTGAACTCATTATCTTTACCCCTAAACTCTCCCCAACTTCTACCTTCCCTGTTACTGTAAAGGGCAATACCGTTCCCCCAGTCCTTCAGGCTCACAATCTGGATTTCTCACTCTCTCTTACCCCCTATATCCAAGCTGTCAAGGTCTGTCGATTTCACCTTTGTAACATTTCTCAAATACACCTCCTCTTCTCTGACACTGCCCTCACTCTGATGCAGGCCCTCATCACCTCACACCTGGACTATTACAATACCCTGCTGTTGCCTCTGCCTGCCTCAAGTCTCTCTCCACTCCAATTCATCCTCTCTTCAGCCACTAAAGTGATTTACCTAAAGCACAGGTCTGATCATGTCACAGCCTGCCTTCCCCAATCAAAATTCCACTGGCTTCCTATTGTCTACATTAGGGGTGGAGAACCTGCGGCCTGGAGGCCACCTGTGGCTCCCTAGGTCCTTGAGTGGGGCCATTTGACTGAATCCTTGTTCTGTGAAGTTTGGATTCAGTCAAAGGGCCACACTTGAGGACTAGGGGGCCACAGGTGACCTCCAGGCCGCAGGTTCCCCACCCCTGGTCTATGGGAACAAATACAAAATGCTATTTGGCATTTAAAACCCTTCATAACCTAGCGTCCTCCTACCTTTCCAGTCTTCTTGCATCTTACTCCCTGAGAAGTATTCTTCAGTCCAGTGACTCTGGCCTCCTGGTTGCTGCATGAAAAAGACACTACATTTCTCTGCTCTGGCCATTTTCTCTAGCTGTCCCCAACCTGGAACCCTTTCCACCCTCCACTCCAACTATTGACTTACATGTCTTCCTTTAAATCCCAAATAAAATTCCACCTTCTACAGGAAGCCTTTCCAACCCCTCAATTCCAGCACTTCCCCTCTTTTAATTATTTCCTATTTATCCTGTACATAGTTTGTTTTGTATATATTTGTTTGCATTTTGTCTCCTCTATTTGATTGTAAGCTTCTTGAGGGCAGGGACTTTCATTTGTCTCTTTTTGTATCCTCAGCTATTAGCACAGTGCCAGGCACAGAGCAGGTGCTTAATAAATGTTCACTGATTGATTATTAATGGATTGAGTGGAGAGAGCATCAGATGAAAAGATATCATGAAGGTAGAAATGTCAAAATTTGGCAAATGATTGGGTTTGTGGAGTGAGGAAAGGTGAGGAGCTAAGGATAGGGTCAAGGTTATAAATCTGGGAAACTAGAAGGATGGTGGTCCCTTCAAACAGGAAAGTTTAGTTTCCTTTCTTCCTTCTTCCTTTCCTTCTTTCCTTTCTTCTCCTTTCCTTCCACATATATGATAGATATGTAGATAGACAGACACACACAGTGATATATATGTATATATACCTATACATATATATCACTTAATATTGATTGAATGATTAGAGTTGGTATTTCCCTGATAGCCTAGGCTATAGATCAAACTTGAACCCAGGTATTCTTTATTTCAAGGCCCACCTTTACACACCCACATTATGCTTCCTGACTCCACTGCACAATTACTAAAGCTGAAAGTCATACTCACTGAATCATAGAACTTTAAAGATGGAACACAACAAACACAAATACAAAATGAGAGACTGCATTGACTTTGTGGATAGAGTATTGGCCCCGGAATCAGGAAGATCTGGATTCTAATTTTGCCTCAGATTCTTACTGTCCTTCTGGGCAACTCATAACCTCCTTTGGCTAAAAATAAATAAACATACGTACACACAAACATAAATATACATATATGTATACATGTATACACATACATACACAAAGAGGTTGTAGGCATACTTCAAGTCTCTCCTCACTCTAATCCATCCTTCTTCACTCAGATGCCAAAGTGATTTTCCTAAAGTACAGGACTCACTATATCACTGCTTTACTCAATAAAATCTAACACCTTTCTATTACCTCTAGGATCAAATAAAAATTTCTGTTTGTCATTTAAAGCTCTTTCTCCCTTTCCATCCTTTTTACCCATTACTCCCCCCCATGTTCTCTAAGGTCCAATTAAACTGGTGTTCTTGCTGTTCTTCACACATAATGCTGCATTTCCTTTATCAGTGCCTGGATGGTGGCTGTCCCTGTTCCACCGAATGTTCTTCCTCTACATCTAATATGAAGGCCTTTCCTGGTTTCTCTCCTCTTTCAAGGTTCCCTCATATTTCATTTGTATATATTTTGTTTAGAAATATATTTGTGAGTTTGTATCTCCCATTACAATGTAAGTACATAGGATAGGCACTTTCTTTTTTTTTTTTTTTTAATTCAGCCCTAAGCACCATGTCAGATGCTTAACAGGTACTAATACTAGTTGACTGAATGATTAAATTTGGCATTTCCCCATGGCCTGGGCTGTAGATCAAACTTGAACCCAGGTGCTCTATATTTCAAGGCCCACCTTTTTTAGGAACCCACACCATGCTTCCTGACTCCATTTTGTAATTACAAATATGGAAACTGAAGCTGAAAGTCAGTCACTTTATTCTTAGGATTTTTTAAGATGGAACACAACAAACACAAAATGAGAGGCTGCATTGACTTTGCGGACAGCATATTGTTCTGGAGTCAGAAAGATTTGGATTCTAATTCTTCCTTCAAATTCTTACTAGTTGTATCACCCTGGACAAGTCACTTAACCTCCTTTGGCCTCAGTTCCTCATCTGAAAAATGAAGGGGCTGGACTAAATGGCCCCTAAGGTGCCTCATAACTCTAAATGTAAGATTCTATGACCTACATATTCTTACATTATATCCTTAGTTTAGAGGAGGAAAGTGAGGCCCAGGGAGAGGTTAGGGACTTGTCCAAGGTCACTGCAGAACCAAAAACAAAACAACGGTCTTCTGTCAAACCATGAATTTTGGTACCCTGACTCCCTCACCATCAAATATGGGAGGGGGTGGGGTGTCAGTGGCTGGTTAGGAAGGGTTAGGGTGAGTTCTGCAGCTGAGGGGAGAGCACAGGAGCAATACTGATTGGATGGAGGTGGGGGCCGGGCCGGGGGTTATGCACCGCAATTCCGAGGCTGCTGGGTGGGAGGGGAAACGACTAGAGAAGGGAGGGCGGGGCCGTCCAGGGGCTCGCTGGGATTTCGCGCGTCCTCGGCTAGGAGGCGGGTTTTGCTCTGCTCGGGCTAGACTCGAAAGTGCATTGGTCCGGCCGCTGCAGCTGGAGCCCTGGGCAGGCACTGAGGCTGAGCCAGCCCGAAAGACTCCAGGGGATGGGGCACCCCGAGCCGACCCTGCCCCCGGCGCCCGAGGCGGGCCACGCCAGTTACATAAAGGGCTTATATAAAGGACTCAGCCGGCGCGGCCACATGGGCTGCAGCGAGAGGAGGTGCAGAAGAGGCAGCGGGGCTAACAGCTGCAGGTGTCCGCTCTTCACCACGGACACCGTACCTGCAGCCTCGGCCCCGCCGCGGCCGCTCTGGGCCGCTAGGGCAGCCCAGTCCCCAGGGCATCCCCAGGACGGAGCGGACCATCCCCCCCCGAGGGGGAAGAAGAAGAAGAGGGCAGCCCAGGGACGGCAAGGCTTGAGCCAGGTAAGGATGCGATCCAAGGGGCTGTTGGTGGATCCACGGAGCAAAGTGTCGGCGCTGCCTCTAGGGCGACCTAGACCCTAGGGCCCCGGGGGAGTGAGATGCCACATCCCGCACCCACCCACCTCCAGCCCGAAGTTGGGATGGTCCTTTAGACTCCACTCAGGCTTAATTCAATGGACTGTTTACACTAGGGAGAATCCATCGCGGCTAAAGGTGTGGGGGAAGAGCGGGAGGGACAGGGCCGGAGGAATGAGAGCAAGACGAGATAAAAACTCATGATGAGCAGCTCTTCCTCTGTTTCATAAAATTCTCGCCAAGGTTTCCCCCTATCCATTAAGATAGATTAAGAAGACAGGTGCTTTTAGATTCTCTTTCTATCCCCCCCCAAACGCAGCGGCTCAATGGTTTCGACCTTCCCGCTTTCCCCCCATTCAAGCGGCGGCCGCTGTTTCAGTCTTAAAGGGGCCGCGGCTGGAGAAGGAGGAGGCGGAGGAGGTGGTGGTGGTGGCGGTGGTGGTAGTGGTCAGGGTAAGGGTAAGCAGTGCGGCCTGCGATCCCCGCCCTCCCCCCCACCTCCCCCCTCTCCTCCACCCGGCCTCCTCGCCTAACCGATTCTTTTGCTTGCAGGTCCCAGCCCGAAGTCCCGCTCCGCCGCGTCCCGGGGCCGGACGGAGGGATGAAGAAAGGGGGACCCCAGCAGCGCCGTTGCTGCTCCCCCCGCAGCCCGCAGCCATGGAAACGGGCGAGGAGGACGGTGTTCGCCGAGGGACACAAAGCAGTGAGCGGAAAAGGCGAAGCCCAGGGCTCCGGGCGCCCAGCGCAAAGCTGAGGCCGGCGGCAGCGGCCCAGGCCCAGGCTCAGGCCCAGGCCCAGGCCATGGAGGCGGCCGCGGAAGAGGAGGCGGCCGCGGGCAAGGCCTACCTGGCGGCGGCGCTGAGGCGGCGGGAGGTGGCGGCGCGGCCGCGGTACAGCCTGCTGGCGGAGATCGGGCGCGGCAGCTACGGCGTGGTGTACGAGGCGGTGGCCGGGCGCAGCGGGGCCCGGGTGGCCGTGAAGAAGATCCGCTGCGACGCGCCCGAGAACGTGGAGCTGGCGCTGGCCGAGTTCTGGGCCCTGACCAGCCTCAAGCGGCGCCACCAGAACGTGGTGCAGTTCGAGGAGTGCGTCCTGCAGCGCAACGGGCTGGCCCAGCGCATGAGCCACGGCAACAAGAGCTCGCAGCTGTACCTGCGCCTGGTGGAGACCTCGCTCAAAGGTACGGCCCGCTGACAGAGCCCCCCGGGCATCCCCCGCCGCCGGGCCGCGCCCCGCACCCCGGCGCCCGGCCGCTCGGCCTCCCCGGGTACCAGCCTGCGCTCAGCCTCGCGTCATTCATTCCTCCGCCCGCTGCCCTGGGAAGGGACCCTCGCATGCCTTTTGTTGTGTGGCTCCCAGGCTTTTCAAACCACCACTCTAGTCTTCACACCTGTTCCACTGACTTTCCTGTAGTCCCAAGGCCTTTAGAAATCCTCCCTTACCATCTTTACCCAGGGGATCCCTAATACTGCACCCTTTCCCATTTTCTATCTCCTGGGGTGCTGACCTTCAGTTTCTTTTACAGCTTGCTACCTTCCCTGGGTCCTCCTCACCTGCCCCTCTTCCCTCTATCTCTTTCCTTCTCCTGCCCACCCATCCTATTATGCCCCTAAGTGCTTAATAAGAATATGAGTAACAACCTGTATAATAGGTTACATTTATATTCACGTGGAGCAAGTAGTGCAAGTTTTGTTAACCTGGGACTTACTAGTAAATTGAAGTTTTGGGAAGTGAATTTGCTTAGTCGTGTGACTTTGTAGATGGTTGTGCTGGAGAAGTTCTCACCAGGACCTAAGTTTTCTGACTTTGAGTGCACTTTTTATCAACAAGCAGTTTGTCAAGAGGGCATATATTATGCTAGGGGTTGGGGGCAAAAACTAAAAGCTCCTGCCCCTAAGGAGTTTACATTCTATCAGTGGAAACAGTTTGTGTGCAATAAATTTTTTTGAAAGTAATTTCAGGTCTTTGGGGGGCGGGGTGGTCATTATCATCTAGGATGGAATCAGGAAAAGGTCTTGTGCTGAGAGAGTAGGACTTGAGCTAAACTTGGAAGCTAAGAATTCCAAGAAGGAGATGGCAGGAGGGAGTGAATTGAAGGTATGGGGAAAGCCTTGCAAAGGTGCAGAGATAGGAGACAGAATGTCATATACAGGAAGTAGGCTAGTTTGGTTGGATCCTAAGAGTGCATGAAGGAAGGAGGGAGAAATAACCCAGGTAAAGTAAATGGAACCAGATTATGAGGGACTTTAAAGTCCAAATGGAAAAGTTTGTACTTGATGCTGGAGACAGTTTGAGCCAGGGTCATTAGCTGACCTTCACACTTTAGGAATATAACTTTGGCAGCTATATGGGATGGGGGAAAGAGAGATTAGGTCTTTTGCAGTGGTCTAGGCCATGGTGATGAGGACCTGAACTAGAGTAGTGGTTGGGAAAGTTGAGAGAAGGGCATGGATATAAGATGTGGAGGCAAAATTGATAAAGAGTTGACAACTGACTTATATGGGATGAGGAAGAGTTGGGAGTCAAGGATGTGAGTTACTGGAAGGATCACTATTCTTTCAGCTTACCACATCCTTGACTCCCAACTCTTCCTCTTACCCCAGTAGGGTAAGACTAACTAGGATTTAAAGAGGCCTCTTATTTCCCAGTTTGGGCTGTTTTTCTAGTTTCACCTGTTCTCATAGGAAGATGGATAAACTCCCTAAAGCCCTATATTTTGTCTCTCCCCAGCTTGGTGTTTTGGTTAGAGCATTGAATTTTAATTAGACATAAAAAGTTTTATTGAACTCTCAGTTTCCTCATTCTGTAATAGGGGATTAAAAATATTTACCTTACCTTTAGGTTTGAGCTATCGGCCTGTTGTGAGGAAAGCACTTTTCAGAGCCTTATAGAAATGTGAATTTAGCATATATGGAGCTCTTCCCAAAGATCTCCCAAAGAAAATCATATATTTTAGCTATAGACCAGCTAGCTTCCTGCCCACTCAACACAAATAGGCCCTTCTGTCTTCTGAATAGACTGTTTCCCACTGAACTCTTCACATTTTTGTTTTCATCCTATAAGTCCACTTACATTTCACCTCTGCTACATCAGCTTTTGATGTATTTCTGCACTTTAGGATTGTGCTGGGGCAGTGGAGGGCAACTTAAAGGACTGCCTTTGTTCAATACACATTCCCTTGTCTCCAAGTTCATTGCCAGTCATGAAATGGTTTGGGTTTGTAACTTTTAGGCGATTTCCCTCTGGTCTTTAGTTACCTGGGGAATAGGATTAGACTTCTAAGATCCCTTCCACCTCTGAATCATATAACTTGACTTTTCTGAATCTGTTTTCTTTTCTCTCTCCAGCCTCTTGACCATACATACACTCTCAGATCTCAGAAACAGGACCTTTGCTAAATAATGGAAACTTGGTGAAAGCATAAAATGAGGCTCCTTCATTTCAAGAGAGAGCCCACATTCACAATCAGATTAGTGGGTGAACTAGCATTTGAGCTCGTGTTCCTGAGCTCCAACTGGGATTTAGGGTTTTTCCCATTTTACTCTACTGACTTGCCTGTGCTGAAAGAACATACCTGCTGATGCACATTGAGTTGTGTGTTGGGTGTATGGGAAAGTTTTAACTTCTGAGGCCCCATGATTCCATTTAGCTAATCCAACCTATACCTGAGCCAGGAATCCTTTCTCTAATATCCATGACAAGGGGTCATCCAGCTTTTTCTTGACTATCTTCAGTAACGGGAAGTCTTTAGGTATCTTATTCATCACTATGGTAAAATTACTTTTGGACATTATGATTCCATGTTCATTCAGTGGGATATAAACCCAGAATGCTCAAATTTAGCCAAATGCTCAGAGCTACAGAAGAATGAATATGCCATGTAGGGGTAGGTATGAGGAGAAGGGATCGTCTAGCTGTGTCTTTATGACCAATACCCATATAGGTCTATGTGCCACATACACAGAACACACCCAGAGTTTCCAGCTAGAACTTGTCTTTCTGTAACCTAGAGTTCTCTCAGCATAGAACTTTCTTTTGGGTTAAGTCCGTGCATATTTGGGTTCAAGTGCTTATCAGGTGTGGGCTCTTTATTCTTTAAAGCTGTTGCCCGAAAAAATTGGGTTTGTAACAAGTTAATGAGTAGATTAAAAAGGAATTTAGGTGGTCTGGAATAGTGGAAAGAGCATTACAGTAGTCATCAGAAGACTGATTCTAGTCCTGAACATGTGCTGAACAGTGTGGGACCTTGAGCAAATCACTTAACTCATTTTCCTCTGCCATAAAATGAGAGCTGTACAAGAGAACAGTAGGAGGGCTGGAAAGAATTACAGACAAGCAGGACAGCTTTGAAAATTACCAGGTGAATTTATAATATAATTTAAAAGAAAAGTAAGCTATATATAATAGAGAGCTGTAGTTTCATGTACAATTCTCTTTCCTCTTCTATGTATGTAGAAATGCCCGTTTGATTTAGTGTTTAATTTCAGAAGAAAAACAAAATAGTTGAGTAGAAATATCACTGATTTTAGAGTCACAGGACCAGAGTTTGAATCCCAGCTCTGCCACTGAGACTGTGTGACCTTGGGCAAGTCACTTAAGCTCCTGTGGCCTTCCTTATTTGTAAAATGACTCGATTAGACTAGATAAGTTCTGAGGCCCCTACCATCCAACTCTTGAGCTATGTATGCTCCTGTGTCAATTTCTAGACCTTTATGTCTGAAAGGGATGTTAGCTACACATCTTCCAGTCAAGAAGGGAAGTAACTTTCCCAAGGCTACACAGCAGGATCAGCAGCAGAGCCCCAGGTTTTCTGATGTTGAATCCACTGCTTTTTACACTGCCCTACAAGAAAGAAACCCAGCTAATAAGAGAGGTCTTTTGACTTTTTGATTGGTGCTAACTCCTAAGACAAATCCCACTTGGATCCTCTAGCTTTGGGAACAGGGTTTGAGAATGTAGCTGCTATCCATATGTTTTAACAGCCCTAGACCAGGTCTGTAGGAAGGAAGAACAGGTGAAATCCTGATCTTTCTTAAAAGAACATAGAGTAGGGCCCCAATAGAAACTTCCCCAGACATGATGAACACCAGGATAAAATATAGCTATAGAGTTGCAAAGATTCCTACATGGAGTAGAGACTTTCTGATTTCTAGAATCTCTTCCTACTCTATGATTCTATAATATTAGCATAGCAGTTTGCAACTGGAAAGGACCTTAGAGATCATTGTGTCTATTGCCACTTTGCAGATGGGAAAAGGGAAGCCCCAGAGAAAAGGAAGTAGGTAACATTCAATCAACAAGTATTTATTAAATGTCTACTGTGTGCCTAGACGCTATTTTAGGAGCTAGAGATACAAGTACAGAATGAAGTAAGAATGAAATGATACCTACTTGAACTTCCATTCCAATGGGTACAAGTACATATAAGAAGTGTATACAGCATAAATATGAAATTAATAAATACAGATATACCACCACCACCCAAGTAGTTAAATATATGGGAGAGAAGGTTTCTAGAAGTTGGAATGAAGAAAGTATTCATACAGAAAATGAAACCTGAGATGCAGATAGGGAAAGAGGGTGTTCCAGGCATGGGAACAGCCAGTGCAAAGGCCCAGTGGGAGGAAATGGAGTGTCATGTGTGAGGAATAGAGAAAAGGCCAGTTTGGCTGGATTCCTGAGAATGAGAAGGGGAGTGATGTCCAGTAAGGCTCGAAAAATAGATTGGGAGCTGGCTTTATAGGGCTTTTAAAGCTAAGTAGAGAACTTCATGTATTCTAGAGGAAATAGGAAGCCACTGGGGTTGGTTGAGAAGAGAAGTCACATAATCAGATCGCGTTTAGGGAAAATTATTTGACATCGAGGTATAAAATAACTGGAGTATAGTGGCCTGGACTAAGAAGTAACTGTATTAAATGGAGAGATGAGGGTTAAACAGAAGAAATGTTGTGATAGTGGAACAGCAAGACTTGGCATCTAGTTGGTTTTATGGAGTGAGGACATGTCAAGGATAAAGTGAGATTATGAACCTGAGGTTCTGAAAGGAAGGACCTTCAGCAGAAACAGAAGATTAGAGAGGGATGGGAGTTCAGTTTTAGACAAGTTGAGTGTAAGAGATCTAAAGGACATTTGGTTTGAAACATATCCAGTAGACATTTGGTGACACAAGGCTGAAGCTTG